GGTTTCTAATTTAAGACTTGTATCTTCTTGAAGTAGTGTGAAATGTGAGAATGTAGTAAAAGGCCTGTTTTTAAAAGGGATGATTATTAGTGGACACTTGTCCTCTTTACCTGGATAAAATGAAGTGATTTTCTTTTGCTAGGTAACAGGAACAACTGCAACGTATATTACTTTTAAAACATATGAATTTATGACTGAGAAATAATTATGAATAGATCCTTTGAATGAGACAATTTTGGACTAATGCTTCAACATTTTAATGTCACAATTACAGCTGTATCCTAATACACATCACTTTATTACAAAACGTATACAAAAATCTATTAATCCTGTCCCATTGAAAGATATATTAAACAGGGCTTATACAACTGCCAAAAGACATTTCTTTGGGCAAAGTGTGTAAGGAAATTTAAAAATACTGATCTGCTGTGACGATGGACAGTGATTAACACTCTCTCCACCTGGCAATTCCAGGATCTATAATAATGACACACAAAAAAGAAGCATAATATGATGCTAAGGGTTCCGTCTGAAAGTAGATAGCAATTTCATGCACTCAAGCAAACCCCTTTGTTTTTCAACATCCCCTTCATTGTCTTGATGTGATTATTTCAATTCACTTTTTTGGTTTGCCTGCATTGTGATTTCTGAAAGCACAGATATGTCCCAGTAAGTTTAGAGAAAGGTGCATTCAAAATGTTATATGAGCATTTCATGCCTAAAAAAAATATCATCAGACCACAGAAGATTTTAAGACTACAAATAACAATGTTACCAGACATTTAAAAACTGCTCAATAAACCTGATATTCTTTCTCATGCACTTTATTCTTTATGAAACATTATGTATATAATTTAAATACTTTATAGCTCAGCTCATACCTAATCCTATAGACCACTGGCTATGATGTAAAAATACAAGTAATACATACTTCAATATCTAGGGCCCAAATTAATTCAAGATGAGCAAAATTAATTAAATTATAACACTAAGACACTACAAATAATCAATTTATTAAAACTTGGCATAAAGCCACCTAAAGGAAAACAACACTCAGAAGCAAAGACAATCTAAGAAAAACAAATCTAGTTACAAATACATGTTGTTAATATTCCTTTTTTCCTTCAACAGTCCTTCAGCATTTGCTTTCATTGCTGCTTGTAATTCATTTATCATATTTAACAGTAAACACTAGAATAAAAAATGAAAGAAGGCAAAGTCCACAGAAATGTAGAGCTTCTGGAATCATAAAGGTCCTTTGTCTAAAGAGAGGAAGTATATATTTTACAAATGCATCATCTCTGACTTGAAATATATTAAGAACTTTCCAGATGACATAATGCATTTTTAAGGAAGTCAATTCTTTTTGTGATTAAAGATTCACAAATTTCTAAACAGGCTACTACCATGTGATACCGGTTAGAATGATGCCAGTACTTACCATATGAAGAAATGGCTTTCATTGTCGACATTACCTTTAAGCCCCACATTCTTTCCTAACCTTGTCACAAAGCAGATCTGAATTAAACTGACTTATAGACAAATGATTAATTCGTAATTTCCAACCTTATGGACGTCCAACTGTCTCCTCATACTAATGAGAATTCTCAATCATATTCACTTCTGGCTACCTTGTATATTGTATCTTCAGTGGCTGACTCATCCTACGCTCTACTCATGTAGCTTATCATTATCTTGTCCACAGACAAAATAGACATTGAATTCAAATGAGAATGCCCACTGATTTGAGAAGCTTGAGAAAGATATCAGCATTGTGGTCCAAAAGGCATGACCACTAAGGGAAATATTTTACCCTGTGTGAGTTGTTTTCCTCCTCTAGAACTAAGTCAAAAAGACAAACAAAAATCACAGTAACTCCTTGTGATGTATTTTCCTTAGTAGTTTATTTTTGGGGATCCTTTTTCATAAGAATTGGCAAAAATCCAGATCAACTTTGCACATTGTTCTAACAGCTTTATTTAAAAATTATATGACTAACTTGCCCATCTAATAGAAACTGCTTACTTTCTCTTATGTTTATTAACTTTGAAACTACTTAAACATTTTGTCTAATTAGCTTTACTTTGAACAAAAGAATAACTTGATTATAGTAGGTTGTTAATATGAAAATCAACACAAGACCTTTCTGATTGAACATTCTCACTTTCTACCTCAAGACAGGTGTTCCGTATATATGCAAATGTTGCAGACAGATGGCTTCTTGCATTGTACACACTATAATGCTAAGATATTTTGCTCCTCATTACAACTTGCCAAAAGTTATCAGTGCTGCCTCTGCTATATATATATATATATATATATATATATATATATATTTGAAATATTTAATCTTCAGTAAGATAACCTGTGATGCTTATCTTAATGCTAAGGAGAGAAAACAACCCAAATATTCTTAACAAGTTCAATCGAAACTTCCTGCTTCCTTGAGTTGTCACAATTCTGGACCTAGACTCCAAGTTCATAAAAGAAAATGAAGCAATTCACAAGGCAGAGCTTCAGGTTATTGTAGTATCTTAGAACGACATTAGTTATTTTATTTGCAGAATGTTATATGAGCTCCAAACCTTTCACCAGAACAATATTTTAGGAATTTGAAATTATTTCTGCGCTTCTCACCACCCAAGAATATGACAGCTTGCATTAAAAATAGTATGCATGCAGGAATTTCCCAGTTAGTATCTCCCTCAAGTTTTAAAAACTCAAATTATTGAGTCTTCTTTCTAAGAACTAGTGAAGAGGTTTACGAAAACATCCACTGAACTATTCATGTATAATTCTCTAACAAAAATCAATATTTCCATTCATACAATATATTAGGACTTAATTAAATTACCATATTCAGTGGTCAGTCTTCACCTTTCCAAATATCCTTGTCCAGTATCCATAACCATGCACTGCTCTGTCTTCCCTCATGCTTCTTTTATTGCTGAGTGAGGCGCTCGCTCCTTCATTAAATAGCATTAAAAATAGACTGCACAGAACTCCCCAGTGGAGCATGCTCTAACACGGCTAATACCACAGTTCTCAAGGTAACCATACTCAACTGGGATCTAAGAGGGAAAGTCACTGGGAGATCAGCAATTTGCAAATCTAACAGCACACACAATTCTGTCTTGGTCTGAGCTAAATACTGCAAAGGACAAATCAGCAGGTAGTGAAATTAAGTCACTGAGAAGACGAAAGTCAATTTCTTTAGCTGTGTAAGTTTCTTTAAATATACCTTCTCTAAACAAAGTACTCTGTTTAATAGGCGTTTTTCTAAAGTAACTTAGTTATTTTATTTATCAAAACATGCCCAGAGAGGTTAAATTTAAAACATAAATGCATAGCAATCCAAATGTCTTAAAAATTTCATTTAAACAAAATCAAAATATTATTGATAACCAAGTAATCAATTATGTTTCCATATCTTTTGTGATGCGGAAGCATATCCCTCAAAGCATATGCCCAAACTCACTCTCCAGAAAATTTACAAATATTCTATTAGTCAAAGTGATGAAAAGTAGGAGAATGTTATAACAAAGGAAATATAGGATCAAACACAAATACATACCTTGAAACCCACACACACTTGAGTGTATTCATAACCTCTTCATGCAATACACATTAGAAATGCAGCAAAAGCAATTACTGCCAAGATAGTAGATTACTCGGCTATTTGGACAAAACATAGAGCTGTTGGTTTCCAAATGACTGTCTTTCATGAAAATGACATTACCTAAAATCCTATTAAGATATTTAAGCCCTGTGGTAATACATACACAGAAGATCAAAGGAGTAGGTGTATTTATTTTAAAGTGGGTGTCAAAGGTTTTCTGATTTTTAACAAATGAAAAATGATTTCCTGTCATCTCCACTTGTCTGTTTACTCAAAATAGTCATAGCAGTTTTTATCTCCAAAGTAGATGAGGAGGGGTTAGGAATCATTTGAATTGATTCTTCATTTGAACAAAATCTTATATAGATTCATTTCAACTTTGAGGAATATCCTTCTTGTTTTGAGAGGCTGAGGGTCATACTGGTAGAAAATCAAAAATCAAAAAACCGAAAGAAATCAAAAATCAAAATGAATATCTGTACTCTAACCACATTCTAATGAAAATGATTTCTAACAGCCTTTTGGATTTCTTAGCTGCCCACCCCTATAACTTTCAATTCTCTTTTTTTTTTCTCTCTCTCTCTCTCTCTTTTAGGCTTGGATTCTGTCCTTATCCTACATCTTCAGAAGGTGATCAGGTAGCAAACCTGAATAGCTGACAGCAGCCACATCCACCCCAGCTATATTTCTATGCATAAACATTGAGTGAGTTAATTCTCTTCTTAAGAAACTTTCGAAACACCTGTCTAATTCAACTCAATTCTACCACCATATCTACAACCTGAGACAGAAAGTAAATTGGTAACTGTGACGAAGCACAGGTTTCATGCATGTAAAAATGAACATCTTTTCTTTTCTTCCCCCTAAGCCGCTTGGGACCTAGGACCCCAATCCTGCCAGGACAACAAACAGAGTATAACTTTCTACCTCTGCAATAGGTCTCTTTCAAAAAGAGCATTGCAAACTTTGTACCTCAACGCCTATAGAAATCACTGTAGACTTCTCCGACGAAAAACATTGCCCTTTTCAATTTAGTTCCAGCTTTCCATTTCCTTTTTGGGGGAAGGAGCGTCCATCCCTCCTTGACGAAACATGCAAAACACAATACATGTATAACAACATCAGCTTTCTACAAACACGAGAAATACAGACAAGAAATAATTCAAAATAGACACACAGATATATGGCAGAAAGAAAGAAGGAATTCTAAAAAGCCACAAAAGGCGTGCAATGTTCACGTCGGAAGACCTCGGTTATTACCTTGATCGAACAGTGGATATCCCCCCTGCGTCTTGGTGCCTTGATGGGTTTGGTTTAGTTTTGGATTTTATTAATAGTATTGTTTCTCAGTGATTGGTTTGGCTGGATTTGTTTGTTTTGGCTTTTGGCTTGGCTTTGTTGTTGTTGGGTTTGTTTGTTTGTTTGGATTTTGGTTGATTTATTTAACTGCTAGTAAACGGAGCTTTCTGCAGTGTCGGCTGGAGTTCCGCACAGCTGTGGCAGCCAGGGCTGCGGCGGCGGGCTCGGTCGCGGCTGGCGTCCCCGCTGCACCTGCTGCCGCCGGTCTCCGCTCCGGGCGCGCTCAGAAGGTACCACCGCCGCCTGCTCCGCCTGGCCGGCCGCGGGGAGTGAACGCGCCCCCGCCTCCCGTCTGCCCTTCTGTCCGTCTGCGCGTCTGTCAGTCCGACCGTCTGTCGGTCCGACCAGCAGCTCCGCGCGGGATTCCCGCTAGCCTGCGCTCTGCTCTCGAAGCTGCCCCTCTCGCAGGCTGCCAGTCTGTGCGCTGGTCCGTCCGTCCGTCCGAATCCCTCCGTCCCGCCAGCAACGCAGCGTCCCTCTTCCGGCCTCCTGTGCCCACGGTCCTCTCCCACTCTGCGCTCCTGGCCGCCGCGCACGGTGCGAGGAGGGCGCGTGGAGGGAGGAGGCGCGCGCGTGCGGCTGTCTGTCTCTCCGGGCGCCTCTCCCTGCCTACTTCACGCTCTCGCTCTCGCTGCGTTCTGGGCTCCCTCTCTCGGGCTGTCTGGCTGCTCCCACCTGTCCGTGGCGCTGCCAGTCCCACCCCTAGCCAGCCAGCCTCGGCCGATCCCTCGGTCCCGCTCCTCCTGTTTGGCCGCCTCCGTCGTCTGCCCCTCCGCCGGTCCGTGCCCTCCCACGCGGCTGGCACTGCCGCCGGGGGCGGCGCCCGGCTCCTCCCAGCAGCCCCGGATGCGTCCGGTCCCAGCCCGGGCTGAGAGCAACGCGCGTGTTGCACGTGGCTCTGCAGCTGCTCCGGCCGGAGACCCCGGGCCCCAGACCCGCCACACCCGGGAGGTGGCCGCAGCCGGGCGCCTGGCGGTGTCGCGGCCTCTGTCCCTTGGGGAGCATCCAGAACTGGCCCATCCAGAGGGATGGCACCTGCTGGGTGCGCCGGGCGACCGCGGTACCACTCGTTCCCTGGGCTGTTCTCCGCCAGCCCTAAGGCTGGAGACAAAGCGCATGAGCCACGCGCAGCAGCGTGAGCATCATTAATCAGAGAGAAAACTGGCACGTTGCCCCCTGCCCCGCCACACCGCCTCCCTGCTCCCAGCCAGAAGGCAGGAATTCTCTCTCGTCCCCGTGCCCGAGCCCTCCAGCACACCCGTCTGGGGGGGCGCTCCTGGACTCTTGGGGACACTTGCTCCACTCCCTCCAGCGCTCACTCTCCAGGCCAACTCTGCAGAGACAATCCCACAATAACACCTCGCCCCACCCTAATGAATCCGTAGCCTGGGAGCTCTTGGAGATTCTCCGCTTTGACCAAGACTGCAAGTCAGGGCGTGCAGCACCAAGCGTACTCCCTGTGGATGACTGCCCAGACCGCTGCCCACCTGATCACTGAGTTGGAATCACTGAGGTGCTGCAGAAGCTGGGCAGGGTAGGACTTGGGGAAGGAACAGAGTTGACACCTGAAGAAATAAAAGCCTTGATTTTACCGCTTGTTCTAGAGAGGCACTATTTTGATTATGTGCAATTCGGTTTTTTTTTTTTTTTTTTTAATTGTCTCAGCACTCACTAACACATTACAAGGAGAAAAAAAGAGAAAAAAAGGAAAAGGCTCAGTGAAGAAGAGGGAATAAAATTCCGAAACGCCACCTACCCCTTCTGAGTGAATGTAGAGCCTGCTTTTCCAACATTACAGGTCACCAGCCAAGATATACCACTTTAGCTTTCTGACCCCAGCTGAGAGCAAGGCATTTGATTTTGGGCTTCTTTGCAAGATTGTTATTAATGTGCAGCAAAATTATAGTTGTACACTCACACATAGAATTGCCAAAGCTCATTTTGACTGTATCCAGCAATTCAGTTTCTGAAATGTAGACACTGAATAACTATGTATCTGGTGAAATGAACGCCCCATCTCACAATAAACTGAAGAGGAGAAAATCAACTTTTACCAGCTGTAATTAGTAACCCCATGAATATACAACAAATAAATAACTAGCATATAAAACATGTCATGAAATTTTCCACATCCCTTTAGTTTCACTTATTGAACGCCCACCCATAATGACAGACATTACGAACAGATTTATTAAGATAAATGCCTTTGCATTATTACAGAAACCTGATTTCTATAGCTGTGGCCCATGTTCATATGCGCTAAGATATTGATTATAAATCTCAAATAAATGATATGTGTACTTCTAGAAACGACTATAAAAACAGTATAAGATTGTACTGACCCTTGTTGAATAGGTAATTATTTTCCAACGATTCGAAATTGTCTCCCTTGGTGTTCAGCCCTCACCAGAATAAGAATGAATCTGCTGTATGAGTTTTCAGACAAACCAAACCCAATGAATTCAGAACAGTTACTTTGATTTATATCCTTATCATTTTTACTGAGTCATCTCCAGAAGTGGTTTTTTTTTTTTTACAGGTATTTTCTCCTTCAAGACATATAAAATTTAAAGGAAAATTATGAAAGCATTTCTAATTTACTATCGTTTCCTTCATCTCAAGGCATTCCGAAAAACCTATTTTTCTTTGGGGGAAATTGAGACTGCATAGGAAGAAAGTTAGTGTATTTGATTTCTCTTCTGGACAAAACCATATCGCAGCATCTCCTGAATGGATAGACAGGTAATCTATTAATAGGAAACCTTAGCAGCTTGTTCATAACACAAAGTCTCTACAAAAAAAAAAAAAATCAGAATTCACTCTGAGAGTTTATTTTTTAAAATGGAACCCAGTCCTATAAACTGGATTAGAAATTATAGCTGTTAAATGAGGGGAGGGAGAACTCAGTGTTCTTAGCACACACTCTAGTGATTATTTGAAAAAACAAAACTGTTTTCATAGCTTAACTGTGTATTGACAAACTCGATGACAATATTTATTGTAGTATTTCATGGATTTTAAGCTTTATTATTTTATTTTTTTAAAAAAAGCATCCCAAAGAATAAGTTTAATGTGCTTCAACTATTTTCTATCTTTTCTCATAATATTTTGTCAACATAAACTGTAGAAGGCTCAAGTTTATTTGAGGCTGTGTAGATAATTAGCATTCAGCTACTCAACTTTAAATTTTTTGTCCCAATGTGGGACTGAAATATACCCTTGGGAGTATTAGGCAGGCAGTGAGCAATAAGTGATTCTTCTAGGCATTCAGAAAGTGTTTCTATTTTTTTAAAAACAATTTAAGACAGTTATCATCCTTTAGGGCCCTTAGACTGTACATATTAACCATCACTAAACTAACTAAAACTATTGTCTTCCTTTTTAAACCTCTGGGTGACAGGCTGACTATGTCAACTGCAGATGTGTTTATGCAAGAGCCCCCTAACTTGAGGAATGGGAGGCAGTACTTGGGAAAGAGGGAGTGGTTCTGTTACTCTCTTGGTCTGAGGGCTTTTGAGTTTATTTTGTATTATGTTTGAAATGAAGGAGCATGCATGTAACCAGGTAACCCCAGCTTGGGGAGTTGAGCTCATCTACACACTGGAAAACATCTAAGATTGTTGACAAGCTCCTTTATACATATATTCCCCTAAGACACTAAATTAGTGCCCTTTAATGAAGCTACCAAATTGGATTTTTGAAATAAGGCAAATTGCTAAAATAGCCCAGCTACCTTTATAAGCACCTTTTTAGCTGAAGCGAGAAGTAGAGTTTCCATGCTGTAGAGCTTCTATCACTCCTCAACAATTAGGCTGCGAGGATCTCCCCTTTAGGGCATACTCCCGCACCGCAATAAAGGCCCACAAATCCCCTAGAGAGACTTCTTATTTGCCCTGTTTCCCACAAAACAGTCTAGGATCTATTAAATACCAGTCTTGGGTGTAAAGCTTTACAAATATGCATGGTACCGAAAAGCAGGAGAAAAGCAAAAGAAAAAGCCCTGAAGATTAGCATTTCAACCAGAAAGTTTTGCACCCCATTCTTATTTTGTGGAAGCCAAAATAACTCTAAAACACATTTCAGAACATCAACAAAGAATGTTACATCATGTATGCATCCGAGCATGAAGAAATGTCACGATCAAAAACAAAGAGGATTTGGGAGACTAGAAACCAAATGTTCTAATGGCACAGATCCCTTGATGGCAGCCATGTCTCTTCTGTAATAGGCTGTGTATAGGATGAGAAAATTATCTCCATGAACCCTTGGAGTTCTTACAAGCGGACTACAAATGAATGCTGGCCTGCACATGCATAAAAATGCTTTGCTGAAAATGCAAACCAAGAAATTTCCTCAAAAATGAATGTGTGTGGTGCTTTCATGGAGATGCATGAATCAGAGGAAGGATAATATGAAGAAATTGGAGGAAACAGTTAAAGAGAAGGTTGGGAAACCTGTCACTAAAAGATCTGAGCATCAAGAGACAAGAAAGGTCGCTGACTAAATTTCCTATTTCTTTTCAGCATCTCTTAGGATAGATATCCCATTTTTCAGAAACATTCTTGGTATTTGGGGGGTTTCTCCTCCTGGTCCACAGAGCACTGTGTTTCTTCCTCTGCCCTCCCAGCCCAGAGGGATCTGTGGCTTTGGTGTGTCTAAGGCAGGCCAGGCAGCCAGCAGAACACAGATGCATGGACTTTTTCTGATGTAGAGCAAGGCTGGAGGCAGGATGCCCAGCAGCAGGCCCTCTCTACCCAGCCTATGTTATCACTCCCACCAGGACCTGCTTCAACACAAAGTGTTTGCAGTCTCCTATGGAACCCACCAAAGGTGTATTTGATTTTTTCAAAACCTGGCCTAGAATTGAAAGCAGAAGCATTAGAAGCATATGTGGGGAAAACAGAGGTAAATGTTATCCCTCTGAAACACAAGGAGTGATGACACAGAGCATAACCTAACATTTGCCAAACCACTCTCTGTGATCTTGCCTCTCTTACACTGCTGTTACAGAGATCACACTTTCTTCCACGATGGACACAGTTCTTTTCTCACAAAGAAAGACAAAGGTTACCAAACTATTCAGAACGTGGAATAATATATTTGGCTTCTCGAACTTGAGATGACATTAAAAGGTCTATCAATTAGCCACTAGAATAAAACAGCTTCAATCCATCTCTAATGAGGTACAGTACATTTACGTGTTTAAACTGTTCTCCATACCTTAAATGGTGTGTGTATCTGTGTGTGTGTGTGTGTATGTGTGTGTGTGTGTGTGTGTGTGTGTGTAGTCAAAAGGTAAAACATATTCATAGTATATTCATAGTGCTAGTATGCCAAAAGAGAACTTAGATCTTTCCGGAAACCCAATTGTAGGCTCAATACCCAGCATCTGAAGAAAAACAACAATGTACAGATATGTAATTCTGCATAAATGTACAACTTGTTCTCCAAAGCTACTCTTAAAGTTTCTGTCTTTTCAAAATAAAAGTATAGATATTTGTTTTTTTAAAAAAGAAAAAGTGAGTGAACTAAATCAAAAAGGAACAAAAAAAAGTCTCCTAGTATATCACCACCCAAACTGCCATGATTTTTGTGCTTAATCTCTCTGCGTATATACCCATAAAAAGAGCTGTAGTTAGCATATATGGATTATAGAATGCATATTACTTTATAATCTGCTTTCTACTTTGGAATAACTGAGGGTTTTTTTTCCCCATGAAATTGACTATATTAATGCATTTATAACAGCATAGTAGTCTATTGAATACAGAACACGTATAGGTTACACATAAATCAAAGCTATTGATGGGCATGGTTTCCAAGTTGAGAAATTTTTCCTTTAGGCAAATCTTTAAAATTTGAATTCCTTATTCTCTGAGAATCTATGTTTTACATTTTGGCACCACAGTGGATTTTTTTAGAGAAGATAAGAGGTTTTTGCTATGTTGTCCTGGCTAGACTTGAACTCTTGCACTCAAGTGTTCCTTCCACCTCAGCCTCCTGAGTAGGCGAGACTACAAGCTTGTGCCACCAAACCTATCTTTAAGAAGAAAGCTTAGCTCATTAAATTGTAATATGTCTTATTTCCTGTTATTCCCACTTAAGTATATATATTTTCATTTTTGTACATTTTAGCTGCATAACAAACATTTTACCATTGAAGCTTTCTCGTTGTTTTGTTCAACATTGTAATTCTCATTCTCAACCCATGGACTATTTACAAGAAATTTTACTTTTTGCTTTTAGTTTATAAAGGTCTTTTTGAGGGAGTGCTCACTATTTATTATTAGGTTTTAATTTAATTTA